CACACACACATACACACACACACACACACACACACACACACACACACATACACACACACTCATACACACACACACACACCTCCTACAGGTACCACACACACATACACACACACAAACACACACAGACCTCCTACAGGTACCACACACACATACACACACACAAACACACACACACCTCCTACAGGTACCACACACACATACACACACACAAACACACACACACCTCCTACAGGTACCACACACACACATACACACACACAAACACACACACATCTCCTACAGGTACCACACACACACATACACACACACAAACACACACACATCTCCTACAGGTACCACACACACACATACACACACACAAACACACACACACCTCCTACAGGTACCACATACACACACACTTCCTACAGGTACCACATACACACACACACACACACACACCTCCTACAGGTACCACACACACACATACACACACACACACACACACACCTCCTACAGGTACCACACACACACATACACACACACACACACACATACACACACACACATACACACACACACATACACACACACACACACACCTCCTACAGGTACCACATACACACACACACATACACCTCCTACAGGTACCACACACACATACACACACACAAACACACACACACCTCCTACAGGTACCACACACACACATACACACACACACACACACACACACATACACACACACACATACACACACACACACACACCTCCTACAGGTACCACACACACACATACACACACACACACACACACACACACCTCCTACAGGTACCACACACACACACACACACACACACATACACACACACACATACACACACACACATACACACACACACACACACCTCCTACAGGTACCACATACACACACACACATACACCTCCTACAGGTACCACACACACATGCACACACACAAACACACACACACCTCCTACAGGTACCACACACACATACACACACACAAACACACACACACCTCCTACAGGTACCACACACACACCTCCTACAGGTACCACACACACACATACACACACACAAACACACACACACCTCCTACAGGTACCACATACACACACACCTCCTACAGGTACCACATACACACACACACACACACCTCCTACAGGTACCACACACACATACACACACACACACACACACACACACCTCCTACAGGTACCACACACACACACACCTCCTACAGGTACCACATACACACACACACACACACACCTCCTACAGGTACCACACACACACATACACACACACACACACACACACACACACACACACACACATACACACACACACATACACACACACACACACCTCCTACAGGTACCACACACACAAACACACACACACCTCCTACAGGTACCACATACACACACACACACACCTCCTACAGGTACCACATACACACACACACACACCTCCTACAGGTACCACATACACACACACACATACACCTCCTACAGGTACCACACACACAAACACACACACACCTCCTACAGGTACCACATACACACACACACACCTCCTACAGGTACCACATACACACACACACATACACCTCCTACAGGTACCACATACACACACACACATACACACACACACATACACACACACACACACCTCCTACAGGTACCACACACACAAACACACACACACCTCCTACAGGTACCACATACACACACACCTCCTACAGGTACCACACACACAAACACACACACACCTCCTACAGGTACCACATACACAAACAAACACACACACACCTCCTACAGGTACCACACACACACCTCCTACAGGTACCACACACACACATACACACACACACACACACCTCCTACAGGTACCACACACACACATACACACACACAAACACACACACACCTCCTACAGGTACCACACACACACATACACACACACCTCCTACAGGTACCACACACACACATACACACACACACACACACACACACACACACACACACACACACACACACATACACACACACACATACACACACACACACACACACCTCCTACAGGTACCACATACACACACACACATACACCTCCTACAGGTACCACACACACATACACACACACAAACACACACACACCTCCTACAGGTACCACACACACATACACACACACAAACACACACACACCTCCTACAGGTACCACACACACATACACACACACAAACACACACACACCTCCTACAGGTACCACACACACACATACACACACACCTCCTACAGGTACCACACACACACATACACACACACACACACACACACACACACACACACATACACACACACACATACACACACACACACACCTCCTACAGGTACCACATACACACACACACATACACCTCCTACAGGTACCACACACACATACACACACACAAACACACACACACCTCCTACAGGTACCACACACACATACACACACACAAACACACACACACCTCCTACAGGTACCACACACACATACACACACACAAACACACACACACCTCCTACAGGTACCACACACACACCTCCTACAGGTACCACACACACACATACACACACACAAACACACACACACCTCCTACAGGTACCACACACACACACACCTCCTACAGGTACCACATACACACACACCTCCTACAGGTACCACATACACACACACACACACACCTCCTACAGGTACCACACACACACATACACACACACACACACACACACACACACACACCTCCTACAGGTACCACACACACACATACACACACACACACACACACACACATACACACACACACATACACACACACACACACCTCCTACAGGTACCACATACACACACACACATACACCTCCTACAGGTACCACACACACATACACACACACAAACACACACACACCTCCTACAGGTACCACACACACACATACACACACACACACACACACACATACACACACACACACACACACCTCCTACAGGTACCACATACACACACACACATACACCTCCTACAGGTACCACACACACATACACACACACAAACACACACACACCTCCTACAGGTACCACACACACATACACACACACAAACACACACACACCTCCTACAGGTACCACACACACACATACACACACACAAACACACACACACCTCCTACAGGTACCACATACACACACACCTCCTACAGGTACCACATACACACACACACACACACACACCTCCTACAGGTACCACACACACACATACACACACACACACACACACACACACACACACACACCTCCTACAGGTACCACATACACACACACACACACACCTCCTACAGGTACCACACACACACATACACACACACACACACACACACACACACACACACACACACACACACACACACACACACACATACACACACACACATACACACACACACATACACACACACACACACCTCCTACAGGTACCACACACACAAACACACACACACCTCCTACAGGTACCACATACACACACACCTCCTACAGGTACCACATACACACACACCTCCTACAGGTACCACATACACACACACCTCCTACAGGTACCACATACACACACACACACACCTCCTACAGGTACCACATACACACACACACATACACCTCCTACAGGTACCACATACACACACACACATACACCTCCTACAGGTACCACATACACACACACACATACACACACACACATACACACACACACATACACACACACACACACCTCCTACAGGTACCACACACACAAACACACACACACCTCCTACAGGTACCACATACACACACACCTCCTACAGGTACCACACACACAAACACACACACACCTCCTACAGGTACCACATACACACACACCTCCTACAGGTACCACATACACACACACCTCCTACAGGTACCACATACACACACACACACACCTCCTACAGGTACCACATACACACACACACATACACCTCCTACAGGTACCACATACACACACACACATACACCTCCTACAGGTACCACATACACACACACACATACACACACACACATACACACACACACATACACACACACCTCCTACAGGTACCACACACACAAACACACACACACCTCCTACAGGTACCACATACACACACACACACACACACACCTCCTACAGGTACCACATACACACACACACATACACCTCCTACAGGTACCACATACACACACACACATACACACACACACACACCTCCTACAGGTACCACACACACAAACACACACACACCTCCTACAGGTACCACATACACACACACCTCCTACAGGTACCACACACACACACACACACACCTCCTACAGGTACCACATACACACACACCTCCTACAGGTACCACATACACACACACCTCCTACAGGTACCACATACACACACACCTCCTACAGGTACCACATACACACACACACACACCTCCTACAGGTACCACATACACACACACACATACACCTCCTACAGGCACCACACACACAAACACACACACACCTCCTACAGGTACCACATACACACACACACATACACCTCCTACAGGTACCACACACACAAACACACACACACCTCCTACAGGTACCACACATACACACACCTCCTACAGGTACCACACATACACACACCTCCTACAGGTACCACATACACACACACCTCCTACAGGTACCACATACACACACACCTGATCAGATAGTACTTTGTGTTAAAGTAAAGTTTGTATTCCTTTAATGGATTTCTGTGAAGCTCATGAATATTTAATGTTAATATCGGTTACAATCAGATTGACATGCTAACGGCTAGCCGCAGCTGTTTTATAGGTAAATAGTTACTGAGTGTAGGAGGCTGTCAGAGCGCCTCCTGCTGGTAAAACCAGGTGCTGGCAGTAACGAAGGGCCGCCTGTGTTCCAGCGACTACGTGATCGAGGAGAAAACAGCGGTGCTGCAGAAGAGAGAGAGCGAGGGCTTTGGCTTCGTCCTCCGAGGAGCTAAAGGTAGAACAGAAGGATGGAGGAGGAGTGGTGGAGACTCCTCGCTGTGTGGTTGTGCAACGCCCACACAGTCTATTGGTTTCCGGTGTAACCTTCATCATCATCATCCTCACCAGCAGTTTCCTGTCTGGCGCCCCTTAACTCCACTGTTTTCTGCTTCCAGCTGAGACGCCCATCGAGGAGTTTGCCCCCACACCTGCCTTTCCAGCCCTCCAGTACCTGGAGTCTGTTGACCAGGGAGGCGTTGCCTGGAGGGCGGGGCTACGGACTGGAGACTTCCTTATAGAGGTAACGCCCATCGGGTCCCCGTATGTCAGAGCATCTCTGCATTCAGTCATGTAATAAAATACCTGCGTGTGGCCCCCAGGTGAACGGGGCCGACGTGGTGAAGGTGGGTCACCGACAGGTCGTCTCTCTGATCCGACAAGGAGGTAGCGGTCTGCTGATGAAGGTCGTGTCCGTTTCCAGGAAGTCAGAAACCAACCTGCTCAGGAAGAAAGGTGCAGCTGCTCACCTGTGTGCTCCTATTATCTCTAGTACATCCAGACAGACCTGGAGTCGGCCCTCTGAGGTGATGTTGGAAGTCGCCCCCCCCCCCCCCCCCCGGTTCTGGGTCAGACTTTAACCCGATTTAAAGTCTGACCCAGAACCAGCAGGTCGGCTCCGTTCGTTCGTCTGGCTGCATCGGCATCATGAAACTGCTGCAGCTGCTCGCGTCTATCTACATGAAACTTTATTATGTTCTCTGCTTTGCACCAAACTGATTCAGACTCTCACCTTATAGCTCCGCCCCCTCCAAAACGGGCCCCCAGCACCTCACTGACGCTCCGATCCAAGTCCATGACCGCCGACCTGGAGGATATAGGTAAAACAAACACGAGTCACTCAGCGTCCAGTCCACACTTGTTTTCCGTTTCCTGTTTCTGACTTTTGTTCTGTCTGCAGCCAGGAGGCGGCGCTTTGGTGAGTCACGGGTTCTCTCTGCTTGTGTCTGTCATCGTCTGGCATGAACGTGTTTCCAACAGATCTAGAAGCAGAAACTTTAAAAAGCTGGAGTGTTTCTAGGTGGAGAACATGAAGGTTCAAAAGGGTTTCTGCAGAGAAAATCCCGCAAACTTCCTGAATTCTAGTTTTTAGGACACGTGTTTTCCTCCCCAAACTGCAGACTCCTCCACAGACGACACTTTAACGAGTTGGGATGCACCAAACGTACCTGGTGATCACAAACCTCCATCTAGTACCACAAAAACCAAGTCCTGGGGGGTGTGAGGTCACAGGTCATGGAAAAAGTCTTCTTCCACCTGTGTCCCACAGGACGTGTCCTACAGGACATTTCCTGGTCTACAGGATGTTTCCTACAAGACGTGTCCTACAGGACATTTCCCGTCCTACAGGATGTGTCCTAAAAGACGTGTCCTATAGGACTTATCCTTCAGGACATTTCCTGTCCTACAGGATGTGTCCTACAGGACATTTCCTGTTCTACAAGGCCTGTCCTACAGGACATTTCCTGTCCTACAGGATGTGTCCTACAGGACATTTCCTGTCCTACAGGATGTGTCTTACAATGCGTGTCCTACAGGATGTGTCTTACAATGCGTGTCCTACAGGATGTGTCCTACAGGACATTTCCTGTCCTACAGGATGTGTCCTACAAGGCCTGTCCTACAGGACATTTCCTGTCCTACAGGATTTGTCCATCAAGGCGTGTCCTACAGGACATTTCCTGTCCTACAGGATGTGTCCTACAAGGCCTGTCCTACAGGACATTTCCTGTCCTACAGGATTTGTCCATCAAGGCGTGTCCTACAGGACATTTCCTGTCCTACAGGATGTGTCCTACAAGGCCTGTCCTACAGGACATTTCCTGTCCTACAGGATTTGTCCATCAAGGCGTGTCCTACAGGACATTTCCTGTCCTACAGGATGTGTCCTACAAGGCCTGTCCTACAGGACATTTCCTGTCCTACAGGATGTGTCCTACAAGGCCTGTCCTACAGGACATTTCCTGTCCTACAGGATGTGTCCTACAAGGCGTGTCCTACAGGATGTGTCCTACAGGACATTTCCTGTCCTACAGGATTTGTCCGTCAAGGCGTGTCCTACAGCACATTTCCCATCCTACAGGATGTGTCCTACAGGACATTTCCTGGCCTACAGGATGTGTCCTACAAGGCATGTCCTACAGGACATTTCCTGTCCTACAGGATGTGTCCTACTGGACATTTCCTACAGGTTGTGTCCTACAGGACATTTCCTGGCCTACAGGATGTGTCCTACAAGGCGTGTCCTACAGGACATTTCCTGTCCTACAGGATGTGTCCTACAAGGCCTGTCCTACAGGACATTTCCTGTCCTACAGGATGTGTCCTACAAGGCCTGTCCTACAGGACATTTCCTGTCCTACAGGATGTGTCCTACAAGGCGTGTCCTACAGGACATTTCCTGGCCTACAGGATGTGTCCTACAAGGCGTGTCCTACAGGACATTTCCTGTCCTACAGGATGTGTCCTACAAGGCCTGTCCTACAGGACATTTCCTGTCCTACAGGATGTGTCCTACAAGGCCTGTCCTACAGGACATTTCCTGTCCTACAGGATGTGTCCTACAAGGCGTGTCCTACAGGATGTGTCCTACAGGACATTTCCTGTCCTACAGGATTTGTCCGTCAAGGCGTGTCCTACAGCACATTTCCCATCCTACAGGATGTGTCCTACTGGACATTTCCTACAGGATGTGTCCTACAGGACATTTCCTGGCCTACAGGATGTGTCCTACAAGGCATGTCCTACAGGACATTTCCTGTCCTACAGGATTTGTCCGTCAAGGCGTGTCCTACAGCACATTTCCCATCCTACAGGATGTGTCCTACTGGACATTTCCTACAGGATGTGTCCTACAGGACATTTCCTGGCCTACAGGATGTGTCCTACAAGGCGTGTCCTACAGGACATTTCCTGTCCTACAGGATGTGTCCTACAAGGCGTGTCCTACAGCACATTTCCCATCCTACAGGATGTGTCCTACTGGACATTTCCTACAGGATGTGTCCTACAGGACATTTCCTGGCCTACAGGATGTGTCCTACAAGGCATGTCCTACAGGACATTTCCTGTCCTACAGGATTTGTCCGTCAAGGCATGTCCTACAGCACATTTCCCATCCTACAGGATGTGTCCTACTGGACATTTCCTACAGGATGTGTCCTACAGGACATTTCCTGGCCTACAGGATGTGTCCTACAAGGCGTGTCCTACAGCACATTTCCCATCCTACAGGATGTGTCCTACTGGACATTTCCTACAGGATGTGTCCTACAGGACATTTCCTGGCCTACAGGATGTGTCCTACAAGGCATGTCCTACAGGACATTTCCTGTCCTACAGGATTTGTCCGTCAAGGCATGTCCTACAGCACATTTCCCATCCTACAGGATGTGTCCTACTGGACATTTCCTACAGGATGTGTCCTACAGGACATTTCCTGGCCTACAGGATGTGTCCTACAAGGCGTGTCCTACAGGACATTTCCTGTCCTACAGGATGTGTCCTACAAGGCCTGTCCTACAGGACATTTCCTGTCCTACAGGATGTGTCCTACAAGGCGTGTCCTACAGGATGTGTCCTACAGGACATTTCCTGTCCTACAGGATTTGTCCGTCAAGGCGTGTCCTACAGCACATTTCCCATCCTACAGGATGTGTCCTACTGGACATTTCCTACAGGATGTGTCCTACAAGGCATGTCCTACAGGACATTTCCTGTCCTACAGGATTTGTCCGTCAAGGCGTGTCCTACAGGACATTTCCCATCCTACAGGATGTGTCCTACTGGACATTTCCTACAGGATGTGTCCTACAGGACATTTCCTGGCCTACAGGATGTGTCCTACAAGGCCTGTCCTACAGGATGTGTCCTACAAGGCATGTCCTACAGCACATTTCCCATCCTACAGGATGTGTCCTACTGGACATTTCCTACAGGATGTGTCCTACAGGACATTTCCTGGCCTACAGGATGTGTCCTACAAGGCCTGTCCTACAGGATGTGTCCTACAAGGCATGTCCTACAGGACATTTCCTGTCCTACAGGATGTGTCCAACAAGTCGTGTCCTTCAGGACATTTTCTGTCCTACAGGATGTGTCCTACTGTCGCGTGCACGTCCCATTTGTCGGTTCTGTTAAAACCCAGTTCCGTTAGAACTTATGAGACTGTGCATCTATCAGGGTTCGGTGGGGATGTCGGTGAGTTTTATCGTACTAGACCCTGGTCTGGACTTCCTAAGTTAGAATCATATCTTCTATTTTAAGGTAGAATGATATGCAAGACTTGTCCCTTTGTAGTAGCCCACTTATTTTTAATCAGTCCCGTTATCTATTGGTTTAGATACTAGGGACGAAGCCCGGCGGGAGGACAGCCCGCTGGCAATTATTTGGGTTATTAGGATTAATTGCGCCCCTGTCAGCTTATGTGGGTGGTTGGTAACTATAAAATGATTCTTGTTAGTTGATCAGGCTAACATAGATTTATCAATTTATCTAATTAATCCAACCTCCCAGCGCTGATAGAGACTTTTTCACACTTGCAATCAGAGCCAAAAATTAACCTCTAATGTTTTGGTTTTATCATCCTTAAGACATCTCGTTACTCGCGGGAGAGGAAGGAGACAAGCTCCTTTTATCTTAAGGTTTCTTTATATTAATTTGTCACAAACCGTAAAGTAAATCCTGATGATTCAGGAACTTATAATTTATGTGCTTACCTCTGCCCTATATGGTCAGGGCTCCCACCTTTAAGCTTTAAAAAGAACCTGAAAGAATCAGGAATGTGAATCTCTTTCCAAAAAGTTTATTACAAGATCAAAAAATACAAAAATGAGTAAATATAAAACTAACCACTTCCCCCAAGGAGAAATTAGTCCTAACGATTAATTAAGAAATAAGGAGTTGATTTACACCAACTCTGTCTTCGAGCTACGGCTCCTTCTGTTTCTGTCGACTGCCCCAAAACTTGTTCCTGTCAGCCTCCGAGGACGGAGGCTGACAGGAACAAGGCTGATTCTTCTCTCCCAGCTCTGCTCTGTCTCTTCCTGTCGTCCGCCCCAACTGCTGTCTCCCAGCTCTGCTCAGGGCTGCTCTTTTATACCGTCCCTGGGCCAGCTTAGACGAGGTAAAAGTCACATATATCATTACCTCATGACAGTGAGGTCATGGGGTCATTTACCAGATACACACTTTTTAGCTCAACACAAGACATTTGGTATCATTTTCACTACATGCAGCATTCTTCAGTTTCCCTCCAACATTCCTGACGAGGGCTTCTTGATCCGATGAGCTGTTTTTCACTCTGTTCCAGTCCTTCTTTTCCCGCTCCTGCCAGAGGTTGGGTCAGCCTCCTGACCTTTTGCCCAGTTCTGTCCTCTTGTCCCTGCGACCCTTCTGTGACCCTCAGCTTGGATGCTTGTTGTGCAGTTGGGCTCCTGTCTTCTGGCTGATTTTACTCGCAGAAGCCAGTTCAGTGTGTTTCAGTGTGGGTCCAATCTTATCTCTGTGGCCCACCTTTTGACCCCGTTTCTTGCCACTGTCGTTGGCATGTGGGGACTGGCAACACTACAAGGCATGTCCTACAGGACATTTCCCATCCTACAGGATGTGTCCCACAGGACGTGTCCTACAGGACATTTTCTGTCCTACAGGATATTTCCCGTCCTACAGGACGTGTCCTACTGGAAGTTCCACCAACTGCAAGAGTTTGACTCTGTTAACCTGAAGAGAACTGGCTAGCACCCCCTGACAAACATTCACACCAAACCTCAGATGAGTTCCGGGCCCTCATTTATCGACCATACTTACGAACAGATCTGGGCGTGGGAACGATTTTACGCATTGTGTGGTATTTTCTAATTTGTACGTGTGCGTGGAAACGTTCCTAAATGTAAGGACATCTCTGATTGTGCGAAGGAGCAGCATCTAGTGGTAGAACAGGGGAACAGCAGTACTGATGGTCTCAGGTATCCATGCATGCTCCTCATCCACAAATGATATTTACCCAGTATGTAGTTGTCGGTGGAAAAATGGCTTTCGTGCATAACTGGTGCTCAAACCAATAAAAGACACGTGTGACCGACGGGAATCTGACATGATGTCATGGCTGATCTGTTATTGGAGGATTTAACGGAGCGTCCTCTCTGGAGGGAACGTGTTCTCCGTGAGCGCTCTGATCTCAAACGACAGACAAACCGCATGAATCTGATTCCAGTTCATATTCTATTTCACGACTAGAACCCGATCGTACACGCCGCGTTGCCAAGGTAAGCAGACTGAATGACAGCTCAGAGACTCTCAGACACCATTTCCAAATAAAACTAACTCCTAATAGAACGACTCTTTGAACCTAAATGAGAACTCGTTACTCTACGATTTATCAGACTAAAGTTTTTACTTATTTCTGACGAAAACTTCTCCTCTGTCCCAACCGCGTTTATAACCTCCACCTGCAACTTGTGTTATAACCGATCTGCGCTTCGGCAGCCAGTGTTTCCGTCTCGCGATCAATAAAGTTTTTCTTTTTGTTTTGGGAGGAAAAAACAGGGAATCCCCTCACCTGCTGGGGGCGTAGCGTGACCAAATATGGTTAATTGAGGGTGTTCCTGTATGTAAATGACTGAGAACGGGCACGAGCACCTGGGTAGCACAGGTGGGATTCATCATCAGACGACTGCGGAGGAACGTGCGTTCGAGCGGCCACCGCACGTTTTCTAGATCAGGAATTTGACCGTTTGTACACACACTCTAAATTTTGGACATAGGAGGGAATATAGGACAGTTTCTGTGGGCGTTTGATAAATGAGGGCCCTGGTGTAGAAAAACGACTCCTAGATAAGCCAATAAATACACAAATGGTTTGCCATAATTGTTTTAAAGTGTTATTAACTGACACACTCTCAAGTGTTGGTGCTGATGTAACAAGCAAATTTCCCCTCTGAGGGGTCAATAAAGTCTATAACAGCTTCCCAAGCGAGTAACGTCCTTTTTAATGGTCAACCAGGAGACGGCACCAGCCCAGTGGCCTAGTGGTATCAGTGTCCGCCCTGAGACTGGGACATCAGGGTTCAAATCCTGGTCGGGTCTTACCAAAGACAGGAAAAATGGGACCCAACGCCTCCCTGATTGACACTCAGCATTAAGGGGTGGGATTGGGGGGTTAACCCACCGATTGGTTTACACACACTGATGTGTGTGAACCATGGGACTTCACATTTCCACTCAGCTGATCAGAACCAATCAGATCTTTAGAGATCGTTTTTGCTGCCATGTGAGCCTCATGTTAGCAAAATGCAGCTACGTAAAAGCAGCTGGACAGGACATCCACGTGTCATGACAGCTCGCTACCAATCCGCGTATTGTTGCATTACCACCCTATCCAAGCTGCCACTGTGTCCAGCTGCTACCAAACACCCCGCTACGTTACCGCGGTAACTGTGGTACTGGAACATCGGTTCAGACAGAAACCTGAGCATTCATTTTTCTGATCATAAACAACTTGATGCTACCAGAAACTGATTATTCAGGGCTGCAGCTGAGGAGACGAGCATTTCTGATGAAGTGAAAATAAAACAATCCGGCTGAAGTCATGAATCCTGGAATGATCTGTGGTCCTGGTTGTTGTGACTAGGGATGCAACGATACCACATTTTCCAAACCGCTACGATACTGATACTTGGATCTGAATACTCGCCGATACCAATTACCGATACCTCTACCACACAAAAAATGCAATGATTTGGAATACAGAATTTATTTTTCTTCTCTACTTTCAACAGGAAAAGACTGTGAGGTAGATAAAAAGTAAAATATATGAATAGAAATCATCACAAAACTAAAATATTAGGTGAACAGAAATGACAAGTTACAGTGAAGCCATTTTCAAGCAACTGCATTGGTATCGGTTCCTGGTATCAGTTAACTTTTACCGATACCAGTAACGGTATCGGTGCATCCCTAGTTCTGACATGGTCGTGGATTCTGTTGTTGTTGTGGTGCTAGCTGTAATTTGTGTTTTAATAATCCAGTTTGCTCATGTTGCTCCTTTTCACCCTCTAGAGAAACTGGACGAGATGCTAGCTGGAGGTCAACAGGAAGTAGTTCTCAGAGGTCGCCCCACAGACGACTTCAGAGCAGCGACGGTCAAACAGCGACCGACCAGTCGGCGGATCACACAGGCAGAGATTAACGTAAGATGGGGCAAAATGGCTGAACACAGGAAAACTCCAGGACACAGTCAGACTTTAACACCTTCCCTCTCTGCTTGGACATGAGATTAGGGCTGCAGCTATCGATTATTTTAGTAATCGATTAATTAGCCTCAGTAATCAATCGATTTATCAGATAATCCTTGAAAATGCAGTAAAAATGTAAAAAGAGCAGTGCTCGTTGTGGAAAACAGGTCAACCAGTATATTCACATAACAACATTTATTGTATTCAGTTCCTTTCCATTGGCTGCCTTTAACCCAGCAGCACGTTCAGCTGAGAAGGATGGATCACCTGGGCCAGCAGATTCCTGATGTATAAACAGTTATGCATTTAGATCTGCTTTTCTTTCTCCAACACAGATTCACCTGCAATGTTACAAATAAAACACTTAAACATGCATGCAAAACCAAAGCAGACGAGCAAACAAGTGCTTCGTGAGTTTTATCTAGAGAGGTGCTTTATAAAACATTTTAGTCTCCCTAACCCAACACCTGAAAACGTTCAGAAAATACAGAACAACGTTTTCTGAAGACGACTCCTCTCCAAATAACCGTTTACTTTACCCTTATGCATTAAACGTGGAGCCAAAACCGGACAGCTGTCACTCACTCACTCACTCACTCACTCACACTTTTACTCACTCACTCACTTACTCTTTTACTCACTCACACTTTTACTCACTCACTCACTTACTCTTTTACTCACTCACATACCTCATGTCCTCTGGGTTTTAACTAGTGTTTTTTTATCATTATCGGACATTTTCAGTGAAAATGACGTGATGAGCATATTCTGATACTTCAGTGTCAGTCATACCAACTGCACCTGTAGCTCATTTTGCATTCATTCATTCATTCATTCTCCTTTGATTAAATTCATTTTACTAGATGACAAGCTTTACTCAGTAGTGGAAGACACCAGGCTCCTCCCACTGCTCTCTCACCCGGAGCCCTGCTACAGGAAATAAACAAAACAAACCTCAGAAGACATAAAGTTGAGATTAATTTGATGGAATGCACCATTTAGTCTGTTGAGAGCTTTAATGACTTAAACCTATTAGATTGTGTCGTGGATAACAGCTACATCTACGAGTTTTTCAGTTTTCATCTGGACTGAATCGTTGCGGCTTTGTACTGCAAAACAAACATAAAACAGATAAATCAACATTATGGGTCCAGTTTTCCACATCATGTCAATTTGGGGGCCCAAGGCGAGCACAGACATGGGGCCCCCTTAAAATAAATTTCGGCAATCTTACTTTTAACTGGATTTACGAAACTCTCCCCTCTTCTGACATGAGTTATTTTCCCTTTTTATAAGTCCTCCTCTTTTTTCATGTCTTTCTCTCCCTTTGAGTGCCTCCAATATTTGCTCTGCGTTCTTCTTCCTGTCAGTGCTCCTGTGCTTTTGCCTTTTTTAATTTATTTTTCATTTTGGTCTGTTTTCCTCCCTTTAAACATTTTCCATTGTCTTTCCTTTTCTGGTTCCTTTTGATGTCTACATTGTAAAACGATGTCACTTTCGGAAGTGAAGATAAAAGCTTTTTTGAAGCAAGCTACTTCTTTCTCTTATTGGAGCCACTAGGATAACTCCATTTCATGCTAAATGTTTAGACTACCGCTTCAAGTTTGTTATGAACACTCCCGCCTCTCTACATCTGCTTTCTCTTCTTCTTATTTGTGGTCTCATGGCACTTGGCAAATAATAATTTGGTGTATTACTGCCACCAACTGGATTGGAGTGGAATGACTACCAATTGCTTCCTGTTTGTGCATCGGCATCTTAAAGGAATAGTCCATTGTGGCATTAACACAGGGGTGCTGGCAGTCAGGGCTAGGGCCCCCCCCCCAACATAAGGGGGCCCCAGGCAGCCGCTGACCTATGCCTAATGGTAAAACCGCCACTGCTCATAGCTACACTGAAAAAAATGGGCCAACCCGTGTCATCAGTATCAGTGATGATTATCACGACGGCATCAGTGTTCATATTGGTGACTGTTATTGTTATAGTGTTAGGTATCGTATCAGTGATCGGTATTGTATGAGTGTTCAGTATCATAATCAGTGATCGGTACCATATCGGTATCGTATCAGTGATCAGTATCGTATCAGTGATCGGTATCGTATTCGTGTTCGGTATCGTATGAGTGATCAGTATCGTAATCAGTGACCGGTACCATATCAGTGATTGGTATCCTATCAGTGATCAGTATCGTATCAGTGATCTGTATCATATCAATGACCGGTAACATATCAGTGATCTGAATCATACCGGTATCTTATCAGTGAAGGGTATCATATCAGTGACCAGTATCGTATCAGAAATTGGTATCATATCAGTGATCAGTATCGTATCAGTGATCTGTATCATATCAGTGACCGGTATCATATCTGTATCATATCAGTGATCGGGATCATATCAGTGACCAGTATCGTATCAGTGATCGGTATCATTTCAGTGACCGGTATCGTATCAGTGATCAGTACCATATTGGTATCGTATCAGTAATCTGTATCATATCAGTGATTGGTATCGTATGAGTGATTGGTATCGTATGAGTGTTCGTATCATAATCGGGGATCAGTACCTTATCGGTATCGTATCAGTGATCGGTATCATATGAGTGATCAGTATCATAATCAGTGGCCAGTACAATATCAGTGATCGGTACCATATCGGTATTGTATCAGTGATCTGTATCATATCAGTGACAGGTAAAATATCAGTGATTGGTATCATATCTGTATCTTATCAGTGATCTGTATCATATCAGTGACCGGTACCATATCGGTATTGTATCAGTGATCAGTATCATATCAGTGACCGGTATCATATCGGGATCGTATCTGTGATCTATATCGTATCAGTGACCGGTACCATATCGGTATTGTATCAGTGATCGTATCATGTCAGTGACTGGTATCGTATGAGTGTTTGGTATCATAATCAGTGATCTGTAACATATCGGTATCATATCAGGTATCATATCAGTGATCGGTATCATATCAGTGATCGGTATCATATCAGTGACCGGTATCGTATCAGTGATCGGTATCGTATCAGTGACCGGTATCGTATCAGTGATCGGTATCGTATCAGTGACCGGTATCATATCGGGAACATATCTGTGATCTATATCGTATCAGTGACCGGTACCATATCGGTATTGTATCAGTGATCGTATCATGTCAGTGACCGGTATCGTATGAGTGTTTGGTATCATAATCAGTGATCTGTAACATATCGGTATCATATCAGGTATCATATCAGTGATCGGTATCATATCAGTGATCGGTATCATATCAGTGACCGGTATCGTATCAGTGATCGGTATCGTATCAGTGACCGGTATCGTATCAGTGATCGGTATCGTATCAGTGACCGGTATCATATCGGGAACGTATCTGTGATCTATATCGTATCAGTGACCGGTACCATATCGGTATTGTATCAGTGATCGTATCATGTCAGTGACCGGTATCGTATGAGTGTTCGGTATCATAGAAACGCACCAGCGAAGTGCGCAAATAAAATAGCAAAATTACTTCTGGATGGTAAATAAAAACCAGCTGGAGTTGATGAATTGGAGATGAAGTTGTTAAAGTGGGTAGCTGATTTAATTGCAATATCTGTAGCTCACATTATTAATACAAGTCTAGGAGCAGGTGTTTGTCCGTTGGAATGGAAAATAGCCAAAATAATCCCAATACCAAAGAACAATAGAGAACCAGTTTCTGGAGAAAATAGCAGACCCATAAGTTTACTACCAGCTCTTGATAAGATAATGGAGCAAGTAATATGTGAACAAATTCAAGAATATTTCTGTATAAACGGACTGAATTCAGTATATCAACACGCATACAGGAAAGGGCACTCCACGGCTACTGCTCTTGCGGCAGATGACTGATGATTGGAAGACAGAAATAGATAATAAAAAAATTGTTGGTGCAGTGCTGTTAGACGATGTGTTATTGGATAAGTTGCAGTGCTATGGATTTGAATCGACTGCCATAACATGTATGAACAGCTTTCTAACAGATAGGAAAAATATAGTATATTTCAATGGGAGTTATTCTGAGCAAGTCGTGGCGAGCTGTGGGGTGCCACAAGGGAGCGCTCTGGGACCATTGTTGATTTCAATCTTTAGCAATGACTTACCTCTTAGTTTACATCAAGCTACTATTACAATGTATGCAGATGACTCCACAATCCATGCCTCTGCAGATACAGATGGGTTTAAACAGGATTTTAAATGAGGAATTAGCAGTAATAGACACATGGATGACAAGAAATAAATTAGTTTTGAATAAGAAAAAGACAAAGTGTATTATTTTAGGATCTAAATATTCCTTAAAAGAAACCCAAGGTTAGTGCTGATGGTAGGTGACACAAAAATAGAGCAAGTCACGGATGTTAATTTATTGGGGGTAATAGTAGATAACCACATGTCATGGAATAATCATGTTGACCAGGTATTGATGAAAATGGGAAGAGGGATTGCTGTAGTTAGATACTGTAGGACGTCTATGTCTAATCAACTGCTAAGGCAAGTAGTCCAAGCTTTAGTATTGGCATATCTGGATTATGGTTCTGTAGTCTGGTCGAGTACATCGATGGGTAACTTGGCCAGATTACAGGTAGCTCAGAATAAAGCGGCTCGTCTGGCTTTGCAGTGTTCATATAGTACTAGTATAAGTGTAATGAATTCTCGTCTATCATGGTTGCATGTGGAAAATAGAATGAAGTATTCACTTTTGTGTTTTGTTAAGAGAGTAGTGATGACTAAAGTACCAGAGTTATTTTACAGAAAGTTTCTATTCTTCTCAGATATACATCATCATTCCACTATGTTTATTATGTTTATGTTTATTTATTTAGCAGATGCTTTTATCCAAAGCGACTTACAATTTATAACCTATAGGGCATGTTGTGATCTGTGGGGGAAACCGGAGTACCCGGAGGAAACCCACGCATGCATGGGGAGAACACGCAACTCCATGCAGAAAGGCCACAGCCGAGCCGAGTTTCGAACCTGCAACCTTCGTGCTGCGAGGCAACAGTGCTAACCACTGCGCCACCATGCAGCCCACTAGGCAAACATCACTCTATAGGTTTGTGTTACCGATGTGTCAAACAACTTTAAAACAAAAAACTGAGTAACAGAGCAATGGTGGCTTGGAACACGTTACCTAACTTTCTATTGGAGGATAATTTAAATACTTACAAAAAGAAGTTAAATATATTTTTGTGGACACAGCAGTAAAAGTGTTATTATCTTAAGAAGAGCCTTAGATTGATGTTTTAGTTATGGGAATTGTGATTGAACATGTGAAGGAAATGTCCAAAATGGCTGATGCAGATTTTGCTATGGTTTTGTAATTTTTGTGTAATTGGAGCAGATGTTTTTTTATTTTTTGTGTTTTTTGTTTTTGTGATGTGAGAATGAGTGTATTTTATTGTAAATATTGGTTGCTGTATTGTGGTGTCGGACCCCCAGAAGAATAGTTGCTGCACGAAGCAGCAGCTAATGGGGATCCATTATATAAATAAATATCAGTGAATAGTATCATATTGGTATCATATCAGTGACCGGTATCGTATCAGTGATCGGTATAATATCAGTGATCGGTATCGTATCAGTGATCGGTATCATATCAGTGACCGGTAATGTACCAGTGACCGGTATCGTATCAATGATCTGTATCATATCAGTGATCTGTATCATATCAGTGACCGGTATCGTATCAATGATCGGTATCGTATCAATGATCGGTATCGTATCAATGATCGGTATTGTGTCAGTGACCGGTATCATATCAGTGATTGGTATCATATCAGTGACCGGTATCGTATCAATGATCGGTATTGTATCAATGATTGGTATCGTATCAATGATCGGTATCATATCAATGATCGGTATCGTATCAATGATCAGTATTGTATCAATGATCGGTATTGTGTCAGTGACCGGTATCATATCAGTGATCGGTATCATATCAGTGACCGGTATCGTATCAATGATCGGTATTGTATCAGTGATTGGTATCGTATCAATGATCGGTATCGTATCAGTGATCGGTCTCATTTCAGTGATCGGTATCATTTCGGTATCGTATCAGTGATCGGTATCATTTCGGTATCGTATCAGTGACTGGTATCGTATCAATGATCGGTATCGTATCAGTATTGGGTATCGTTTCAGAGTTCTGTATCATATTAGTGTTGTGTATTGTGTCAGTATCAGTGATTGGTAGCTAGATCTAACTGGGTTTGTTGTGTCTGCAGTCGCTGTTTGAGCGTCAGGGTTTGGTCCCTCCCTCCGCGCCAGAGAAGAGCACCATGGCTTTACCCAGAGGGATGTCCAGAACCAAGAGCTTTGGTGAGACGAGTGGTCCCACGTGTAACTCACAGCTACATCAGCTAAAGGATACCAGTATACTACCACTGGTGTAGATTCGTGTTTTAGACATTTACAGTTTTCAGATGAATAATTGAACAGTTTCAGGTGTTTGTTGGCTTATTTATCACTGTCTCCATGGTTACCATGACAGGCACACCAGAGGATGACAGGATCACCGCTCTGATTAACGAGAGTCGGTTTCCACGGAGCTCCTCACTAACAGATGGCACCATCCCACCACCTCCTCAGACAGCTCCACCCCCGCCTCCTTCTGCCTCCTCCCTCTCCTCACTTTTCCTTCTCGACTCAGGCCCTCCTCCGTCTTTCCTTCCTCCTCCTCCCCCAGCTCGAGGGGAAGGACTGAGTCGCTCCAGCTTCAAGCCGGGGGCGGAGCCAAGGCTGCAGGAGCTCTCCGATTTGAGAAGTCATGCCCACGCAGAGCGGCAGAGAAAAGCCAGATCTATGATCATCCTGCAGGACACACCTCCACCACCCCTTCAGCCTGACACGCATGCCTCTGCTGCTGCACACACACTTCACACCGCCACACAGACCTCCACGCTGTCCATCCACAGCACCAGCCCTGCCCTCGGACATTCGCCACTGTCACGCCGGCGTGGACGACCAATAGAAAACCCCTATGCCAACGTGGGACAGCAGGCTCCGCCCACGAAGCCTCAGAGGAGGAAGTCACCCTTGTTGAAACAACTTCCTGTTGAGGAACAGGGTTAGCCATTTCTTTTTGTCTGAGTTTGAGAGACATTTTATGTCAGAAAAGTCCAAACTACCTAGAATACATTAGCCTCAGATTACCTTAGCATCATACTAGCGTTGTTTCTGGGCTTAATGTCCTTCATGCGTTAGTGGCAAGTCGAAACTTTACTGAACTAAACTAAATTAATCACCCATGATGAGGTTGTGAGAGTTTCTATCATTTCAATTCAATTCAAGTTTATTTATAAAGCACCAAATCACGACAAGAGTCGTCTCAAGGACCTTCACACAGTAAACATTCCAACACAGGTCAGGTCATTAAGCCAATCAGTAACAAGGTTCCTATATAAGGAACCCAGCAGGTCGCATCGAGTCACTGACTAGTGTCAGAGTCTTTACAGCAATCCTCATACTAAGCAAGCATGCAGCGACAGTAGAGAGGAAAACTCCCTTTTAACAGGAAGAAACCTCCAGAGAATCCTGGCTCAGTATAAGCAGCCATCCTCCACGACTCACTGGGGATGGAGAAGACAGAACACACACACACACACTCACACACACACACACACACACACCAAGTAATGTGTCTATGGTTACATTGTGATTTCTTAGTAAATATTCTATTTGGTGAGAGATAAACTTTATTGTATTTATCCTAGTGAATCTATAATTAAACGGGTAAACTAGTAGTAGCACATTCAACATCAAAGAGAGTAAAATGTTATTATCAGGAGAGGGAGAATGATTAAGTGGTTAGCAGCAGTGTGCTAGACGATTTCATGAGAACTCTTTGAAACAGGCTGCTTGTTTAACCCAGCAGGAGAAACAGCCTGTGAAGTCAGTCAGTGCACCGAGCTGACAGAGCAGTTGATGGTAGCCTGCAGAAAGAGACCAGGAAATATGACAGACCCTACATATCCCTCACATTTACTGAAAAAGCCGTCAGAAATGAAGTAAGACTCCTGTTGTGGCTGATAAAGAAAATGATGAAGCTAACGTGCTAATAGCTCTCCCTAGTCTAGTATAAGCATTCAAGTAACTGATTGGAAAATGACCACACTTATAATGTATCAGTAAGAAGTCTATGGCCGTTTAGGGCAAAAACAAGCCAGGGAACTGTTAGCTTAGCATGCTAATCTTGGGATAAGCCCTTATGGATCTTCTAACTCAATATAAACACGACTTTAGACCAGAGGTGGCTCTTTCACCTTGTGAGCTGTGTCGTCAACTTCCTCCCACAAAAAGGTGCTAGATGTTGCCAGATGTTTACACATGCTAATTTGCATATCGTCGACATCATCACGCCAAGCCACATTTGCATGCTGCTAAAAATAAGTCACATGGTGGTCTTCATTTTCTCCTCAACCTCCAACAGTTGTACCATTTGAGAACCTAAAAGTCCTGCAGATAGTTCCACTCATTTTTCACACCAGATTAAATTTTAATTGTCAAACGTTACGTTCCCCGACTGTTTAGTTGCAGGTGCATGACTTACATGGCAGCTGGTTCTGATCCGCTTGTTCAGAGAACTTAATAGGCGAGCAGAAACTAAATCTGAAGACAGAAGGTCCAGTCACAGACTCATCAGTCCAGTGTTTCCCCTCAGGTCTCGGAATCAGAGATCACGATTCTTCCAAGTTGGATGGAGGCGGACTCTCAAGCCACAGCAGGGCGGAGCTGTACCAGCAACAGGTTCTTTCTGAGCGCGCTCGGGTTCAGGGCCGCCGCTCTTCTCTCTTCCTGTCTGTGGAGGGTTCGGGGTCCGACAGTCAGACGCCGCTGCTGCTGACTCAGAGCCATTCGATGGATGACCTGGGCGAGCTGCCTCCTCCGGCCCCGGTCCTGTCGCCGTCACCGACGCCTCACACCTTCCTCCACCCGCTGACGGGAAAACCTCTAGGTCCATCCTCCAACACAGACCTCCTCGTTTCTGTTCATGTCCGTCTGTGATTTGTTGATGTTCTTTACTCATTAATCAGTTCATTTCCAAACCAAACTTAGGTCATAAAAATGCTTTTAAGCAAAGAAGTTCGCTATGAATGTTTTACCGAAGCCACATGTCATCAGAACCAAATCTATATCAACATGTTTGGTTAAGTAAAAGTGTAAAGAGACCAAACAAGTGAGTGAATTATTAATGACAGTGAGGACATAAGGAACTTGCTGAATGAATGAATAAATGAATGAATGAATGATGTGGAAATATATAAACCTGACCAATAAAAACATCTTCCCATCTTTTTGCCTCTATATTTATGTACATATCTTTATATGTTTTACATTGATTTTTCATCTTTTTAAAACTTTATTGGCTTTGAAATAAGCAAACTAAATATTATTACATAATAATTTCATACATTCATTTTTATGCTGATAAAATATTCATGTGTACATTTATTTTCTCATGCTTTTACTCATTTGTGTGTATTTGTTGAGCTCCTGTAATCGAGAAGACAGTAAGTCAAAGTGCTCCAGATACTAAAGGTGCCTTAGACTGAGCCCTGTTGAACTCCAGGAAAGCAGCAGCAGTCTCATCCAGCCTTTCTGTCATTTAGAGAAAAGGTCAAACATTCCACCTTTACTGAAGCTTGTTTCCATTTTTGTTCCTGCAGACCCATCGTCTCCGCTTGCTTTGGCTCTCGCTGCGAGAGAACGAGCGCTCACCGCCCGAACACCAAGCCCAGAACCTCGAACAAAACACACCTCAGCCTCCACCACACCTGTTCCCACCCCAGCTGCCAGTCCTGAGGCAAGACACAAGCGCAGCACCTACACCACCCCACAGAGTAGTCCTGAGCCACGATCCAAGCGCACCTCCCCCCACACCAGCCCGGAGCAGCGCACCAAACACACGACTCCTCAAACCAGCCCTGAGCTGCGGCACAAACGCGTCACACCGCCGCTGTTCCCCGATGGACAGGTGGAGCGACCTGAAACTGAGGGAGGAGTGACGTCACCTGCTGCTCCCTCTCCAGAACGATGGAGACCCTCCCCCTTACCAGCGTTGGCCAATGAGAGCCATTCGGCTCTGATCGACAGACGAAGAAGCCTTACAGTGGGCAGCTCAGAGGAAGAGGATAGGGCTTACACTGTGACCCTCCCACCTGCTCTGTTGTCATCCAGCGATGAGGAAACCAGGGAGGAGCTACGAAGAATTGGTCTGGTGACTCCTCCCCCTGCCTTTGCCAGCCCCCCCGCCCTTCCTCCCCCACCCACCCTCACCTTGTTGCCACGGCGAGGAGGGGAGGGAGGAGGAGAGAACTGTCCTGAATCCCTTGGGAGGCAAGGAGACGAGGAGGAAGGAAGCGAGGAACGTCTCCATGACAGCTCCTCATCCCCCAGCTCACTCCCTCCCTCGATCACTTTGGCTTCCCCTCCTGCTCCAACCTCCCCCTCCTCCCCACCTGCGACTCACCCATCTCCCTCATCAGTGGTCACTTCACCCTCTGGGCTGAAGCCTCGCCTTCGGTCGCCAATCGGTCGAGGCCGTTCGGCACTTCGGGACCCCTTACTGAAGCAATCATCAGACAGCGAGCTCCTCCCCTCTGCTGTGTCCTCGTCCTCCCTGTCCTCCCCTCTCTGCTCCTCTCCCACCAGCGGCAGCAGCCGGCAGCCTCGCTATCTGTTCCAGAGAAGGTCCAAGCTGTGGGGGGGCGGGGATGATGATCGGCGAGGTCTGAGTCCAGAGGACGGGCGACCTGCGGCGCTGGGAGGACAGGTGTCCGGGTCAGCTGTAGATCTGACGAGCCGCTCTGCGCTAGAGCTGAGCGGCCGGGCCGGGTCTGGACTCGATCTGGCTAACAGACTGCAGCTGCTCAACAAAGACAGCCACTCTTTGGGGGAGGAGCCAAGTCCCCTGGACCCGGGCCGGAGGTCCCCAGTGGGAGGCGCCAGGTATGTTCACCAGCATGATACTGGAGCTGTAAAAAAAATAAAAAACACCAACTTTCTGTTTGACGTGGTTCCACCGTCTAGAAGAAGAAGAAGAAATAATAATTTCTATAGCGCCTCTCAAGATAAAAATCATGAGGTGCTTCACAAAAACAAAAAATGTAAAAATATAAAATAGAATTTACAAAATGATTAAAAATATATTTAAAATGAGCGAAAAAAGAGACAATTGTGATTAAAACATGCAAAGAAAGAGAGAGAGTGAATAGGAAAGAGGGAAAGCAGTGGATCCTGAGGAAGGTGGAATAGGTGGGGAGAGCAGAACAAGGAGAGGGTGATGAAGGTCACACCAAAACCTGAACAGGTGAGTTTAAAGGAGACCACTGAGTCCACTGATCTCAGGCTCAGGGGGAGAGAGGTCCAGAGTCTGGGGGCCACAGCAGCAGATGATCTGTCACCTTTGGTCTTCAGCCTGGTGCTGCTTTGGTCACTGGACCTCAGGGACCTGCTGGGGGTGTAGGGACTAAGAAGATCACCAATGTAAGATGGTGCTTGTCCATGTAAGGCCCTATAGACCAGAACCAGGATCTTGAAATGAACCCTGAAGGTGACTGGCAGCCAGTGAAGCTGGAGGAGAAGCGGGGTGATGTGGGTGTGTTTGGAGGACTTGGTCAGAAGCCGAGCACAGGCGTTCTGAACCACCTGTAGACGGTTCAGGGAGGTTCTGCTCAGACACGTGAAAAGAGAGTTGCAGTAGTCAAAAGGGCCATTCCCATCTGTACCGGGTCGGCCCGGGCCGGGTAGCGTAGGTTGTTTACATATCTGGGTGGCCTGGTATTTTTCCGGGCCAACCAAGGCTCATTCTCAGCCCTCTTCTCGAGGGGGTCTGCTTCAGGCCGACCAGGGCCAACACACCCACTGCTGACAGCAAATTCACACCTTCCATTAGAGCAAGCCTCTGATTGGTGGGTAGAATCAGCCCACATGGGCTTAAGACAAGGATGTGTGGAATCAACCGGGCCAGGCTGGGGCCGACTGGGGCTACCCGGCCCGGGCCGACCCGGTACAGATGGGAATGGCCCATAAGCGTGAGGAGATGAAGGTGTGGAGAACTGTCTCAAGTTCAGAGCAGGACAGAATGGGACTCAGCTTAGCAACGTTCCTGAGATGGAAGAAGGAAGAGCCAACAAGAGAACTGACATGAGAATCCAGGGTGAGAGCTGGGTCAAAAGTCACGCCAAGATTCCTGACAGAAGGTTTGGTGTGAGAATCAAGCTGACCAAGAGAGTCTCTGACTTTGGGAACCAGCTTGTCTGGGACACAGATGAGGATCTCAGTCTTATCTTCATTCAGCTGAAGAAAGCTCCCACCATCCAGGTTTTGATAGAGTCTAAGCAGGTGTGGAACAGCTGCAGCTTAGACATCTCATGGGGCCTAAAGGAGATGTACAGTTGGATGTCATCTGCATAAAGATGGTAGGAGATTCCTTTGAAGGAGCTCAGGATGTGCTGAAGAGGAAGCAGATAGAGGAGGAAGAGTAGAGGCCCCAGCACAGAACCTTGTGGGACACCATGGGTAAGGGAGGTGGTGGAGAACCTAAACTTGGAGACGGCCACAGAAAAGGAGCGCTCAGAGAGATAAGAGGAGAACCACTCCAGAGCAGATCCTGATAGGCCGACCCAGTCTCTCAGCCTCTCCAGTAGCAGGTGATGGTCAACAGTGTCAAAGGCTGCAGTCAGGTCCAGCAGGACCAGAACAGAACAGTCCCCTGCATCACTGTGAGTCAGAAGATCATTAGAGACCCTAAGAAGAGCTGTTTCAGTAGAATGAGCTCTACGAAAACCTGACTGGAAGCTATCATAGATGTTATGTTCATCAAGAGCAGCTGTGAGTTGTTTAGCCACAACCTTTTCCAAGATCTTGGAGATGAACGGAAGTTTAGAGATGGGTCTGAAGCTGCTATGGAGAGAGGGGTCGAGACTCGGTTTTTTAAGAAGCGGGTGGATTACAGCGTTCTTAAAGCAAGCAGGGACCTAACCAGAGACCAGAGAAGCATTAATTATAGAGAGCACGCTGGGACCGATGGACTGAAAAGCACTTTTAAACAAAGATGAGGGTAAGATGGGGAGGGGGCATGCAGAGGTCTTCATAGAGTTAACTAGTTTGGTTAACTCAGGCAAAGAAACAGGAGCAAAGCTAGATGAGTGATCCCCTACTCCATTCCCAGGGGGCCGGTATCCAGCATGTTTTAGTTGCTTCCCTGTTCCAACACAATTGATTCACCTGTTTGGCAGCACACCCAGCCTGTAACTGACCTGCTGATTAAAATTAGGTGTGTTGAAACAGTAAAACATGCTGGGCGTCGTTCTTTTCCGATTTTGGTTTTGATGACTCCGAGAAGGAAGTCAGAACAGGACATTCTCACTGAATCGTCCAGCTAATGTCTAACATCCTGCTCCGTGCTCTACAGGTTGTTCTCCAGCCTCGGGGAACTCCACACCATCTCACAGCGAGGATACGGCGCCAGTTACACAGTACGACCAGGAAGTCGCTACCCCGTCACCCGCCGCAGCCCCTCACCTTCTCCCTCCCCCTCTGACCGATCTATGGGGCTCGCCTCCTCCCCCACCACCTGCCCCGAACGCCCAGATCTGAGCTCAGGTCGAGCTCTCACCATCCTGAAGTCATCCAGCCTCAGTCTCCCATCTGAACCAAAGGAGGTTCGCTTTGTTATGAGAAGCGCCAGTGCACGAACCAGATCCCGTTCTCCTTCTCCTTCACCCCACGCCTCGCCCTGCCCCTCCCCGGTCCTTAGCGGGCCCCTGTTGGCCCTTCGGCCTTGGAGGCAGCGGCCAATCAACCTGTGGAATAAATATGATGTGGGTGATTGGTTGGAGAGCTTGGGCCTGGCCGAACACCGCCAGCGCTTCCAGGAGCACGAGATCGAAGGCTCCCACCTCCCCGCCCTCACCAAGGAGGACTACATGGAGCTCGGAGTCACCCGGTTGGGACACAGAATCAACATCGAGAGGGCTCTCAGACAGCTGCTGGATGGTTCCACTTGACCCCTCACCTCTGACCAACCACCTGTAGGCACACTGAACTCTGACCTCATGACCCCTGACTAGGCCATCTCTTTGATAGAATATATGATCCTTTAGACTGTTTCATTGATGCCCAGCTGTAAGAAACATGTTGGTTCATCAGCTCTTTAATCAGCACAAAGCCGCTAATGGTTTAGACCTCAGAGTCCAGCTTTATGGCATTAGAAGTACAGGTGACCCTTGGTCTGACCTCTTCTTGAGTCCGTCAAATGTTCACTCATTGGTTTCAGATGTTACCAGCAAGATAACAAGATCCAGAATATGTTATTCCTGACTGATGAAATTACACATCATCAGAAAAGTGTAAAACATTCCTCCTAATTTAAAAAGCTCCAGGAAGTAGAATCACTCTGAACAATAAATAGAGAAAAAAAACATGGAGAACAATGCACAACTATGAGCCATTTTTTTCTGTCACGTTCCCAGTGAGAGTTGGACTCCGCCAAGGCTGCGCTTTGTCACCGATTCTGTTCATAACCTTTATGGACAGGATTTCTAGGCACAGCCAAGGTGTGGAGGGCATCCGTTTTGGTGGCCTGAGGATCAGGTCTCTGCTTTTTGCAGACGATGTGGTCCTGTTGGCTTCATCAGAACGTTATCGCCAGCTCTCATTGGAGCGGTTCGCAGCCGAGTGTGAAGTAGCTGGGATGAGAATCAGCTCCTTTAAATCCGAGACCATGGTCTTGAGTTGGAAAAGGGTAGAATGCCTTCTCCGGGTCAGGGATGAGACCCTGCCCCAAAGGGAGGAGTTTAAGTATCTCGGGGTCTTGTTCAGTGAGGGAAAGATGGAACGCAAGATCAACAGGTGGATTGGTGCTGCTTTTGCAGTGATGTAGGTCTTGTACCGGTCTGTCCTGGTGAAAAGATCTGAGCTGGAAGCAAAATTCTACGTTCCTACCCTCACCTATGGTCACGAGCTTTGGGTAGTGATTGAAAGAACAAGATTGTGGATACAAGCGGCCAAAATAAGTTTTCTCTGCAGGGTGACTGGGCTCTCCTTTAGAGATAGGGCTAGAAGCTCGGTCATCCAGGAGGGGCTCAGCGTAGACCCGCTGCTCCTCCACATTAACTAATTTGCTGCCAGCCGTTTCATGATCGCTAAAGCCCTTCGCTGCCAGCGTTTCTCACCGTTTTTACTGTTTTTTTTAAGAGTCACAGAACGTTGCGCGCTAGGATGATGTAGACGCCAAAAAACAACCAAAACAAAGAGGAGACTCACCTCTTACATCAGGAAGAATCCGCGCCTTTCGAGCGTTATCCATTCTTTCATGATGGGGGTGGGGGGGTGGGGGGGATCCTGAATCCTCCAATGGGAGCTGCCAGTGTACGGCGCTCAGCCAGCTGCAGTCAAACAGGTGGGAGAGAGAGAGGAGGGCTAGAGAGCACATTGAGTTTCCTGCATGTTGATGACCTCGAAACAGAAGTCACAATCTGAAGGCGGGGGGGAAGGTCGGGTCACAGCATCTGTCTACATTCCTCCTTTCGTGGGGGTTGATATTGACGGCAGCTTTGGAGGCTGCCTTGGCATCAGATTAGGATAACAGACTTTGTTTAGGGCAGACAGAGATAATTTTCCTCTCTGCCTTGGAGTCTATAAGTGGTCATTCATGTTCACCAGTGAAGCCGATTGTACGTTCTAAACATCCCCACACCGTCCGGCGACCCTCTCCGAGATGACATCCATCTTGCGCACTAACACAGGCAACACCGAGAGGACATTGTCCAGCTTACGGTTCACCTTGAGTAACATCCCAGTCTGTGAGGTCACCGCACGGGTGGCATATTCCGTGGGTACGGGTCGCACTCCAATCGCTCCCGTCTTCCCAAATTTCCAGAAAACCAGATATCCACCCACTCCAATCAGAAGCAATCCAGTGATCATCAGGCCGAAAATCCACAAATCTTCCATGTCCTCGATGGACAACTGAGAGAGGCACACGATTCGCCAGACCTCCAAAGAATCGAGTGCATATCCCGCTGCGTATGTCCCTTCGGGACAGGTGGGAGCCCCCTTCTCCGTTCTCATCGTAGAAAAAATCTTATCAATCGCGTTGAATGACCAGTTAATTAAGTCCATTTTCCCAAAAAAAAAAGTAGTGATTTTCAGGAGAAATGCAGAGAAGTGCTCTGTAGGCAGACAGGACAGAGAGCCTTGGGAAAAGCAGATAAGGGAGCTGAAGCAAAAGCATCTGTACTCTCTGAGAGCCGGATATATATATATATATATATATATATATATATATATATATATATATATATATATATATATATATATATATATATATATATAGAGAGAGAGAGAGAGATCTATATCTATATATCTACATCTATATAGATGTAGATATATAGATATATCAATATCTATATATATACAGAGAGAGAGAGAGACAGATTAATTAGTAGTTATATTGCACATGGTAATGAGAGCAGTAGTTATATTGCACATGGTAATGAGAGCAGTAGTTATATTGCACATGGTAATGAGAGCAGTAGTTATATTGCACATGTTTTGAAAAGATTATATTTGCAGGGGAAGGTTACAGATGCATGGCTTCTATTAGCAGTGACTATTATAGAGTCTAACAGCAGCAGGGAGGAAAGATCTGCGGTATCTCTCCTTCGTACAGCGAGGGTGGACCAGTCTGCTGCTGAAGCTGCTCTCCAGAGCAGACAAGGCATCCTGCAGGGGGTGTGACTCACGGTCCAGGATGGATCTGAGTTTTGCTAGCACCCTCTTGTCCCCCACCTCTCGTACTGAGTCCAGCCCAGGACAGAGCTGGACTTCTTTATCAGCCTGTCCAGCTTCTTTGTCTCCCTCTCTGTGATGCTGCTGCTCCAACACACCACACCATGCAGGATTGCTGATGCCACCACAGAGTCGTAGAAGGTCTTCAGGAGTGTCCCCGTCACCCCAAAAGACCGTAGTCTCCTCAGGAGGTGGAGCCTGCTCGGGCCCTTCCTGTACAGTGTGTCTGTGTTGTGAGACAACCGAAGCATTGATTACATAATGTAGATGACTTATTTAGCATCGATTATATTTTGATATTAGATGCATTTTTAACAAAAACAGTCACCTGTTGCACCAAGTTTACCGTTAGCAGGACTCTGAGATCTGCTGCTGATCACTGAGCTGATCCGACCAATGAGGCGGCTTCTCCACTGCTTCCCAGACTAGTTCATAGACGATCCAAGATCTTCTGGGACTTCTAAAACCACCGAGGACTCATCCTTTTCAGACACTTTTCTGTTGCTTTTGGATTATTTAATCTCACTCCTGAAGCTTTTCTGTTGATTCTGACGTTAACTCCTATGTTTATGAAGATCATTTAGACTTTATGAATAAGTATTAATAACAATAATAATGTCGTTGTGAAGACTTAGAGCTATTTCTAGTCTGGAAACAGACTTTAAGTTATGATTTGACAATGAGTTGAATTTCCAGGAGATGTTTTGAAATTCGTGATGATTTGTCGATGAGTGTGACTTTGTGCCGACGTGTCGTGTGTTTCAGGGAGAGCTGCAGCGGAGCTCCAACCTCTCTGGTTTCTAACCTGCTTATCGAGGGCTTACTGTACACGGTGCTAACTGCCTAAAGCCATCTGTACCGAGGATAACCCCCTTCTTCCTTTACTTCACCACCAACCATTCAGTCCCCCTCCGATCAGACCAGGCCCAGAGCGCCTCACAGGATCAGGCCATACATGGAGTTTCCTCCCTGCCATATAAGGGATCTTCTTCCCCGCCATGAGTGGAGTTATCTCCAAACATAAAACATTCAGAACCGACGAGATTATAATTTGTTGCTTTATTTGATTTTACTTCAAATTTAAAGAATTTTCCCCCCAAATATTTAAGGAAAAGGAAACGTTCTGGAAATCCTGTTTATACGTTTTATATATCTGCATAATGAAGCACAAACTGAGACTTTTGAGACTAATTTTAACCACAACTACATCAGCTGCTAAAATGTTTTTAAGGAAAATGGAGAACTTGTGTAAATGCAGAACCTAAAGACATAGAATAGGTTTATAAGATGATGTTTAACCAGATTAGTGTTCATTAAAGTATTTTTATGAATTAACGCTGCTGCATAAACAGACCAAAGCAAATAAATACTAAATACAAAAACTAAAGTCCCACACAAAACCATCCTCCATCAGCTCTAAGCTACAGCCACAACACATGAAAGGTGTAATTATGATTAATAAGATCACTTTTCCCCAGGAATAAAAACAAATGCTCCTGATCCTCACCTCTTTATGTTCACTGCAAACCATCTAAATCCTTCTATCTGATGAGATCCTTCTAAGATTTGCGATCTTTCCTCCAGACAAAAACAAATAACATCTGATCAGTAAACAGCTGATCTGTGATCTCCGCCAGAAAGCAACCAGTGACTCCACCCCCTAGCCAATCAGTGAGCAGCAGTCGCTGAAGTCACGTTTTCGGACCGGGTCAGAATGCTAGAAACCACAACAAAGAAGGAACTGGGAAGATGTGGGACAGGCTGAACCGAACCCGTCCGAGTCAGCTCTAGAGACACGGGACCTGGTTCTAGACTGGTGCCACTGGTCTCTTACTACAGATGTTTACAACATTATTTTTCTGGCATTTATGAGCCATTATTTACACACATCCGTAAAGTAGAATTTATAAACTAGTTTTGTAATTCAATAGCATCACCTAGAGGCTGAAAAGTGTATCGCACCTTAAGCCCCTCTCACTCCTTCGGTGTTTACGGCTGAAGCAACGCCTCTCGGTGAACGCGCACCTCTAGAGCTATATATATATATATATATATATATATATATATATATATATATATATATATATATATGACTTGGCTGTCCATGGGAAATGTCTCCAACCCTGAATCTGCCCTGGTACAGCCAACGCTCCTCTGTGATTGGTGTCTGTTAGGTGAGCGGATGTTTAGCGCCATTGGTGAGGGGCTCTACGAG